GCCAATATAGAAGTATTACATATGTATTTGCTGCCAACACGCTCTTTACACACGAGACGATAAATTACCCTTTACTACATTCGTCGTGCTTTCGGCAACAAGTCAAATGGCTTTCAGCAACAAGTCAAACGACTTCTGCAACAAATGAACTGCGGCGTCTTGCTTCGCCAACCGTCCAAATGAGCTCTCATGCTTTCGGCAACCGTTCAAATGCCGCGTTTGCTAGTTTCGTTAACGAGCATTCGGAATACTGGTTTGTCGAAGTCAATATCAGTATGAGCCAAGATCTAAATAATCTAACAATAAAATTATAGTTTAAAATACTAAAACCTCCCTATTATGATTGCCATTCGTACTGTCATCAGGTATGTAACTTGAGCATTGTTGCACACGGGAGTCTCCGGCAGTGATCGGATTGGGATTCGACAAGGGGGCGTGGCACCTCCCGTAGTCGTGAAATTTTTTATCAGCTATAACTTCGGAACCATAAGTCAAATGAACTTGAAATTTGGGATGCAGACATACCTATGGTAGGTGCTTAAAGTAGGCTATAAATACATGAGTTTATAAAAAGGGGCGTGGCACATCCCATAGGCGTGGAATTTTTTATGACTTATAACTTCGGAACCATAGGTCACATGAACTTGAAATTTGATATACAGACATATCTACGGTAGGTGCTTATAGTAAGGTATATACGAAGGCGTTTTTAAATGGAGGCTTGGCACATTTCGTAGGTGTGGAATTTTTATCAGCCATAACTTCGAAACCATAAGTTACATGAACTTTAAATTTGGTGGGCAGGCATAGCTATGGTATGTGCTTATAGTAGGCTGTAAATAAATGAGTTTGTAAAAGGGGGCGTGGCACATTTCATAGCCGTGGAATTTTTTATGAGCTATAACTTCGAAACTATAAGTTACATGAACTTCAAATTTCGTATGCGGGCATATCTATGTATATGAATGGGGCGTGGCACATACCATAGGCGGGGACCTTTTATTAGCTACAACTTCGGAACCATAAGTCCCAAGAACATGAAATTTTGGTATTCACACATATCTATGGTAGGTGCTTATAATAAGGTATATATAAATGATTTTGTTAAAGGGGGTGTGGCACATCCCGTGGGCGTGGAATTTTTTATGAGCTATAACTTCGAAACTTAATCACATGAACTTGAAATTTGATATACAGACATATCTACGGTAGGTTCTTATAGTAAGGTATATAGGACGGAGTTTGTAAATGGAGGCTTGGCACATTCCGTGGTTGTGGAATTTTTTATCAGCCATAACTTCGAAACCATAAGTCACACGAACTTTAAATTTGGTATTCAGGCATAGCTATGGCAGGTGCTTACAGTAGACTATAAATACACAAGTTAGTAAAAGGGGATATGGCACAACCCATTCGCGTTTAAATGTTTATCAGCTATAACTTCAGAACAATAAGCCCCACGAACTTGAAATTTTCATAGGCAGGTATAGCTATGGCAAGTGCTTACAAAAAGATATATATAAATGAATTTGTAATCCCATAGGTGTGGAAATTTTTTTTAGCTATAACTTAAAGACCATAAGTCACATGAAATTGAAATTTGGTATGCAGGCACATATATGGGAGCTGTTTAGAGTAAAGTATATATAAATGAGTTTGTAAAAGGGGAATAAATACATATGTATTCATCTATTAGATCACTCAGATATTTAAAACTGTGTTTTTTTGAAACCTTACATTTTTAGATCATTTCGAAATGGAAAGATTCAATCGTTTCTTTGGTCCCGCGTTGCTGTTAAACGAAAAATGTTCATTCATAATGAATAAAACTTCTTCCGAAATAAGCATTCTACCGAAAAAGTACAGCTATACTAAAGCAGCGAAGCGAATAGGCAGCTATACGGACTGCACCGTAGTAAACTAATTTAAAAATTCTATCGTTACCTTAATTCACCTAACATTAATAATGGAACCAGATTTGTAGTATAGAGAGTGATGATCAATATATGTTAGTTGAAGTACGATAAAGCTAAAAATATGGCTCATAAGGATGCCTTAATATAAACAGAAAGAAAATAGTTTTTCTCCTATAATTTATGCTGAACTTAATATTTGAATTACTGTTATATATTTTGATTTGTTTACCCCGGACGACGTCGGGTGCTCTGCTTGT